CATTTACAATTAACCACAAATTGCTACTTTCTGACCGTGTGGTATTGATTTCAAACATTCCGAATAACTTATAACATAATTATTATTTTAATACGAAATCTAATCTAACATACTTAAACCGATAGGTAAGGACATCAACCTTAGTATGTAATTAATTAAAACCCTAACTGAATCACTTTTAGCAATATATCTATATTAAATCAAAAACCATAGATTGACTCATATGAAATATTTTTAACATAAGTTTGACTTAGCTAAGACCTCGCTAAGTTCGCTTTATGATACGGTTTAAGACATACTTAAGTAGTACTTAGACAGGTCCTAAGATTATGCCTAAAACGTACTTACGACCCTACTTAAGTCAAAAACTTAGCAAGCTTTATGTTACGAGCCCCAGCTCTGCTAGCTTGAATAATGACCTTTTCTTCGCATTTTCCTTTACCAGTTGTATCGTTGTCGAATGCAAAATATTACTTTCTAGAGATTAAAACTCCGTCAAAACGGTTTCAACAGAATTAAAGCAATTTAAGAGATGTGAAATTTGTCTTTGTCATCGATGGCCATCATATCATCTTGAAATAGGTAAATAATTAATTATTTGAAAGAAAATACATTTTATTTTTTATTTCCATTAAACAGTTTGATGAAGTCTTGCGTTTTTAGAGAGTATAGGAAAGAGATCATAAAAAATATCTCTCTTAAATCTATTGGAGTATGAAATGTTTATCAATTTTTTATCCTTACTAATATCGGTTTTATCGCGTAGTTGTAACTTCATCTACTTTTATTTATTGAGTTCTGCTTAGTATATTATCATGCAATCGTCAATGCTAACTGATGTAAAGAAAAGAGTCGTGTTATAAGCATTAAACGAATAATAGAAACGGTACAACACCAATAATGGTGTGAATACTGAAATTTCCTATCGGATCCTTTATCTCGGAAGTTTTCTGCAATGGATTTATTACTATTGATGATTGTTTTGTGGAGTTTTAATCTCGAGAGAGATGGAATAAATGTATTTTATGAATCAATTTGAGTTGTCAATCTCTACGTGTGTTTTTTAAATGGTTTTCTCTTTTCAGAACTACTGTTAATTAGAACACCAAGGTTAATTGTCAAATGCAATTAGTTGCACCCATGCACAGAAAGATATTTTTCTTGTTCTGTTTATAAAAAAATGAGTTTAATAATGAATATTTGATTAGTTTACCACCTAAATCATTGAAATATTTAAGTTAGTTTTTAAGTATGAAAAAAAGTTAGCTTTTTTAAAGTATGAAAGTCGGATTCAAAAATGAGCTTTCTGCTTGTATGCAGTTGAAACTGCTTTATTGTGTTACATTTTGATTTTTTTTCCCAAAAGGTTCAAATTAAACAAATGAATTTTCAGAAAGATGTCTTTTCGATGTTGCAGCATTCATTTTTACGGATGTTGCAGCTTGTATTGTAAAACACTGAATACTGTTCATGCTAAAAGCCTCATTTCCGTCGTTTAAGGTCACAATGTTTGTATGGCGCATTATTCAGTTGTCAGGCTAAAAAAAAAATAGATTATGTTCCAGAGTGTTACCTAACATAGCATTGTTGGGTACTGTTTCACTGAAACTGAGGAAAGTATTATAAGTTTCATCTGTTCTATCTATCCAAAAGGGTAAAAGAAAAAGGTGGCAGTGTTGGACGTACTTGAAATCAATTCTGAAAAAATACTTTAAGTTCTTGAAACTGTTTTGTGTTTTGAAATTCAGATATTATTTCACATTTTAGGCTTTTCTCATCTTTCAAAATAAAATATTAATGTTTACATTTTACGAAATGTAAAAAAAAAAATTCCCGATTTACTTGTATTGACATATTGAATCCATTTACATTTTTCCAACAATAATTTATCTTCTCTGGTTTCTGACTTTCACATTTTGACATAACCCTTCCAATGTCTCCTCAGCTAATTGGAAATTTATCTCAAGGGGTATTAGAAAAACATACACCGAATTATTGAATATATCTTTACATGTGAGCACTATGTAATTTACACGAATGTTTAATGGTTCGAAAACAAGGACCAAAATAGTGAACATACAAAAGTGCAATCAATCGAAATGGTTTAACCGTAAATATTGTGGATTGTAATTATTATTTATCATTTCATCTTGGCAGTGTACTTTATGACAAAATCTGCCACAGTCGTTAAATGGTTAGCCTGCGATTCCTTCAAGTGATAGTTGGGTTTTTACCTCTCTTTCAGTTTAATGCGTACGTCATGCAGTTTCGACCACTTTTCATTACATGCAATTATTTTCTTTGTTCGGTCACGATATTCCATTTTCATACCGGGAATTTGTATACGAAGTAGTAAATAGTTCCATTGTTTTGATACTTTCCGTTGATGTAGATTGTGTAAGGTTTCTTGTTATTATGTGTCAACGTCCTATTTCTCATTTTAATCTCTTTGTTTGACAATAAATATGTATCATGAACATGGATTGTCCTATCAAGTTATTCTCTGTGGAGAGGCGGCTTTCGCCAATCCACCACTTCTCTAAAGAGAATACTGTCGAGTATTTCAGACCAAAGAATTATCTGACAGTGATACGTACTTAGTTAACAGCTACTTTTACATACTACAATCTAAGATAAATAATTGTAAATACATTCCTGGTGATCTTTCAAAGTTAATACAATTTTCATACAAATATGGCTGCTTCCTGGTCGTTCGCCTTCATTAACAAAAATTGATCAAAGTAAATTAATAACTAATATCTATATGCATGAATCTTTTATGAATTATGGATACCATGAACTCTCTATAAACAATTTGTTCTACCCGAGAGTCGTCAATGGATTAACTTTTCTCTTTGTAACGCTGTACAGTACAATAATTGGTGGTTCATGCATTAGAAGACTGATACTAGGTATCCTCTGATGAAAAAAAACTTTGCAATCAGTAATAGAGTACGCTATAGCCATATAAGGAGGTAATAAAATGTATAACACTTTTCATTAACTGAAAAGAGAAAATAAAGTCGTAGGACAATGTTTGTGCAGCAGTTGTTATATAATATTTTGCTAAGGTCTTGTTTAATTGCATACAAGACTGCTGACGAAGTTCTGTAAAACTGTAAAAAGGACGGAAAGTGATCTTTTTGGCAATAATTTATATATTTGAAGGAACATTTCCTTTAGATCTGGGGAACGAAGTTCATTGAACAACTAGACACTATAGAATTTACCAAATTACCAAATTACCAAATTAAAAAAACCTTCCAATTAAAAACGTGATGTCCCCATTCTATTTCACTGAATTACAATATATAAAACCCTTTGTGTCTGAATTCTCTATCGACCAGATACTGTCTTATTGGAGATTCATTTGCGTTTTATTGGTACATGTCGGTATAATTACCCAATTCTGCTATGTCACGGCAATCAATATGGACAGCTGTGAATTATATGTCAAATAAAAGCATTTAAGGGGGAAAAAAATCAGAATACTTGAACAGTGTAGTACACTCAAAATAGTTAATCATAAAACAAGCTTCAATAAATAAATATATTAGTTTAACTTCCAGGAAAGAGAGAAAATACTTATCTAAATGTTATCTCGATCATCTAGCGCCGCACATTCGCTCCTGTACGGTTTAGTGGATTAAATAGAATATTATCATGATCTTGAAAGTGCTAGTCTTTTTATTTCTTTAAACACGTCAACCACAAGTGTATAAAAAAAGAGTGGATGCACGATGTTTCGCGATTGGCAATCGTTGTGCTCCATTCATTATGTATACATGGCCAAATCTAACGGCATCTCTTCGTGTCAAAGTAACTTTGATCTTACAGACCGCTGTAATTCATTATGCAGGGGCAGTAGGAGGTCTGGATCAGAGTTCTGTGTAGGGGACTGGGTTCATACCCGAACGAACTTTGACACATATATGTTCATGTGGGGAGATATGTTAAGAGTCAAAAATGGATGTCGCTTAATGTTATTGGTAAGCTTTCTTGGAAACATAAAACGGTTAGCTGTAAAGGAGATTGTAAAAAAGGAAACTTTATGGATTTACCACGCTCTCATTACAAAGTTAAGCTTTTGATATAACAGTGATTTTTTGAAAGGCTATTATCAAGAAATCAAACGGATTTTTTGTCTATGATCCTCTTCATTCTTTTGAGTATCTTACAATTGAAGACAGCTTCATATCAGTCTTGTGAAAGAGGATCTTCTAGAAGGTTTTATGGGGTTTTATGGCTCGTGAGAATAAGATTTCGCGTGAGTTGTAGAGAAATAAGACATCCAAAGATGAGTCCATTCATAGGAAAATCTAACACTTCACAACCTAGACTTGATTAAAGCGTTTTCACTCCGTCGACTCTTGCCAGCTCAAGGTTATGTGAATGCACCATTTCGAGGACAATAACCATTAGCGTAATGATTCAAAATGATGAATGGGCGTGTTGCAATCCTTCTTGGACCTCCAGTGATCAAATAATTATTTTGCAGGAAGTGTAATTTTGCATGGAAGGCAATTAGCAGTGGGATGGTTATAGCTACCCTATAACAATTATATTTGTTCTTAAAACAACATTTACTGGAACTTCGCATCATACAATGTACAATGAATTTTAAATATATATAAACTCTTGGAGTGTTGGTTATGCAGGTTACCACTTTCAGGTTTAAATTGCATGTCATACCATTCTTGAAAGAAAAGTGAATATAAAACTTTATTCAACCGATCTTCAACAGTTCTTTTTACATTCATTATCGGTGAAAAGAATTAATGATGTCTGGTACCTTTAACATATATAATATTTCAGCATGTACAGTACTACTTACCTCTTATTGATCTCATTATGTTGTCTATCGTTAAAAAGTTAATGACCGTCCTTTCATAATATTGAGTTCATTTAAAAGAGCGACAATGTTAATCGCATACCGCATTCTTGAAAACAGTTGCTTCATCGCAAGTTGCTAACAAAATATTTCATTTTTGTTTTTGCAGTTGGAACAGAAAAACAATCTACTAATGGAATGATTGAGAAGTCTCTTCGGTTTGTATTCTTCTATTAAGAATTGATGTTGGCTGTTTTAAACTTTACCAAAAAGACCGAGCACAATGGACCATTCATCAACATGGACGTAAATGTGTCTCTAAACAGTGTGTTTGAGAACCAGTCAAAGGATCTACCGGAAGATAATCAGCAGGACACGGTGTTCATCATTCGTCGTTATGCACTTCCTTTGATCTGTTTCTTAGGAATTCTTGGAAATTCGTTATCAGCAAAAGCGTTTCTTGGACCTGGATTGAAGCACGCTTCATGTAGTTTGTATCTAGCCGTCCGATGCATATCTGATAATGGTTTTATATTGACATTATTTACTGCCTGGTTGGACTTTGTTCACGTTCGAGTATTCCATACGGAGGCGATTTGTCAGATCGTTGTGTTTCTTTCCTATCTCTGTAGTTTTATTTCTGTTTGGTGTGTTGTCTTTGTTACCATTGAGAACTACGTCCGAATTTGCCATCACACTCATGTTAATCGGTTTTGTACCATTAAAATTGCCCGATATGCTTTGCTTACATGTTTTCTTTTAGCCCTCCTTCTTTACAACTTTTCTCTTTGGGGGACACAAGTGCAACAGCATGGCGATCAGAAATATTGTCTTACAAAACGAATATTTATGAAACTGGAGCAGGTTATCACATACATCGACACTGCATTAACCTTAGTCATTCCATTGCTCATTATTCTTGTTTTAATGCTTCTTATCATAATCAGCTCTGTTGATGCTCATAAGAGACAAATTCGATTGACCTCGACTTCAGCTCAAAACAACAATGAGTCGAGACGACGAGTCCTTCCTCATTCAAGAGTTACACGATTGTTGTCATCAGTGTCCATCATGTTTCTAATTTTACACACACCTTTGCACGTGATCAGAATCAAGGTGTTATTCGAACACGTACTTCGTAAAAATGGAAATGAAACATCTGGAAGTGACATGGACCGCACGCTTCAACACATTTTCGTTACGATGTACTATCTGAATTTTTCCGTCAATTGTGTGATCTATCTGGTCTGTGGTGAAAATTTTCGAAAAGTATTTCTTGAATCATTTTGTTGGTTCTGTAAATTTCGAAATACAGAACTGGAAGTGGAGGCAGAAAGATTTTCAAACGTAGGGATGACTTCCTCACTTATTTTGGATAAAGACGAGGAAACAGCCATTCAGTGAAATTGTTGTAATTGATAAAATGCTTCTGTGATATTACACCCTATTTCTTTGAATATATTTTCACATACACATGGTAAAATGCATGTATTTATTTCACGTACCTTGTTAAAAGTATTTATTGTTTATCAAAAATATATTAATAAACATATTAACAAATTTCTTTTGATACTTGTTCTGTACTGATATATCAAAGTTAGTAAATTAATTTTCATTGATGGGTTATACAATACCGATTAAAAATTGCTTTTTTCTAAGACAAGGCCTGTTGGTAATATTATACAGGCAATCCCATTCGTAAAAAAGAAAAAGAAAGAAAATTCATGGTATTGTTGGAATTGCATAATTTCACCTTACAAGTAAACTAAACACTCTCATCATTTTGTTAAACTACCAAGAAATATGAATAATGCTTTAAGTGATCAAAATCAAAATACCATTAAAAGAATGAAAATCTAGAGCAGAACGAACACGGACCGATTCTATATTCAGAGTTTGGGTCAGGACTATGAGGGAGTATCCACTTTCGACTTTTCCCACCAGTACTGTGCCCCTTGCTTTTATCGGACAAAAAGGAAAATTTCGTTAGATACTTGATTTATTGTGAAATTATGGTCTAACAGTTCTTTGTAGGAAATTATTTTTTGGACTAAATGGATGATATTTGCAAAAATGGTCTTTACATCGGTCAAATGTTTGCGAAATCTTGACATTAAACGGGTTTGTTCGTCATTTGCATTTGTTACATTCTGAATGTGAACACAAAAACTCCGGAATCGATATTAAGAGTCAGTCCGCGAGAAAACCATGCAGAACTGTCCAAATCGAAGGTTGTCATATCTTAATGAAATTTGGTGGGTAGTTAGACTTTGTCATATATTATTAAAAGATGACCAAAAAAATTCCCATCATTCAACATGGCAGCCGTAGGCAGCGCCACCTCCTTTTTGCACATTTAAGTGCAAATGCACTTAAAAAATTCAAGAAAAATGGTAAAATTCACATTTGATTTATTTTACTCAAAATTAAACTTGCATTTCCATTAAGGTATTTTTAAGTAACATAAGACTATGTTCTTTCAAAATTGACATTTATCATAATCAAATATGCAATATATCAAAGGGCAGACAACTCTTGAAAATTGGCAAGATGCCAATTTTCAAGAATTGCCAAAAGTATTTCAAATTTAATGCCCCAAATCTTCCAAGACCAATCTTTGAAATTATTTTTTTTTATTTTATTGTACAAATATAACTCTAAACATTATCTTTGCAAAATATTGAGCTTGGGAAATAATAAATAATTGAGATATGGGGATTTACAAATTGCCAATTTTCGAAAAAAATTGCTCAAACTCAGACGGGTTACAAAGTCAAATATAGAACTTTAAATTATAAACAATTGTTGTTAGATATTGAAACGTGTAACAATTTTCTTTGAAATAATTAAGATTGAAAAATAATTAAAGTAAAAATTAAACTAAATTTTCAGAAACTACCCCTAATATGAGGATTAGCATTTTGCCAATTGTTTAGAAATGAAAAAAAGCATAATAAATTGTATTGGCTTACTTGCAATTTTTTCAACAATCATATGAATATTCATGTTCCTTACATTTTGTAAGTTAGTTTCTTTTTTTTAATAAACAAAAGGGAAATTACAAGTATTTAAATTCAAACAGACTCTATTTCAGTATCATTCATATAAATTTTGAGACTTGAACATATAAAATTTGAGCCTTCACTAAGTTGTTCGCTTTCTGCCAATTTTAAATTGGTACAATCTTATAAAAATACTGACAGCAGATGTTATACAAAATACTCCATAAAGGAGTTAAAGAAAATGAAAGATGCTGGAGTTTACTCTTATCCCACCTCCCGAATCAAACAATTGTCTTCTTTTTTCGCTTGGCAAATTCTTTTCAGGTAAGTTTAATTTTAACCCTCCCCCCACCCGAGCCTTTCAAAATCGTTTCTACGTCACTGCTATGACTGCGATTTTCGTGAATAAGAAATTTTATGAACACGAATCAATCAACTTGAATTAAATAATGGGGGATTGAATTTATAAAATATATATTGTTTATAAATTTGTGTATTTAAAGTGATTTAATCTAAAAATAAAAAATATAATAAGTTTTCCGTTACGTTTTCCGTTCCTCGTTTTAGCAACACCCCTCCAGAACCCTTATCATTTTTCATTATATTATCCATTTCAATATAAGTATGTAAATTGTGGGGAGGTGGATGGGGTTAAACGATTGGGGACTAGATACACTCGTATATTTAATATCCTGACCTTGATCGACTTAGTGTCAGTCTTATAGTGACATGCCCCCACCCCCAACTGTTTTCAGTGGATACATATAACATTTAAAAAAAAAAAAAACAATTTATCTCTCTCTACAGTGGTATTAAAAATACCATTATGGTTATTCAGAAAAAGTATCAAATATTAATTTACAAAGCCTTATACAATCTTATTAATAATGTTTTGAAAATAATTTTGACAAAATTTGATAGCCCCCACCCCCCCAATTTGAATGAGTATGATTCCAGTCTTTTATCATGTTTATAGCCGGTTTTAAATATTTACCACTTTGTACTGCAAACTGGCAAAGTTTTGGCTGCAGTAACGACTCATATTTTCCTTGGGGGGGGGGGGGGGTAGTTCCCTCCCCCGAATAATTTTGCCAATATTTATCGTGGAGGGTCCTATATCGGTGGGGCCTAAATTGGTGGCATCTCCTTTTGAGCTGATGATTTTTAATGGGAGATCTGACTTTATCAATATATGAATGTTACGTAACACAGTAGTTTAAAGTATGTAATGTAAAAAATTAAAAATATTCCTAGGAATGACGGTGTTTGGTTAACTCAAAAACACACTAAATTTATGAAACATAAACAATTTACATGTAGATTGAAATTACCAATTATTTTTGAATTTGTTGAGAGTATCAAGTTGCTAAGACACTAAGAAAACTACGTACGTTTATATTGAAAATGTATGATTTTAGTTAGTCAGTCCTCCATGATTTTCCCCTCGCTTATTTCATTATTACATGTTTCATATGTGTTTTTCTTTTTTCTTTTCCTTTTCATATCCTGATTACGCATATCATATACTTGTACATACGACCTGAATTTATATGTTGTAAATATTCTTCATGGTCCTCATGTACCTGAAATGGTTTGAGAGAATAAAATGATCTTGAACTTGAACGGGGGCCAGGTGCCTTAAACAAAATATCAGATGTATATTTTGATTAAAAATATTCTGTTATTATTTGATTTAATTTCCTATTCAAAAATTTTGTAACTGTTAATTACCGTGAAATACTAATATATAATAGATTCCCCGAGGACAGAACCCTATAGAAAACATAGCTACTACATGTATATGCCCCAAATAAAAAAAAAAAAACATCTGATGACCTTTTATTTTTTTTACCGGTACTTTCTATGGAATTCTTGGTATATAGTTGATAATGTAGGTTGTCCCCCCTCCACCTCACTGAAATTGCTTCCTATGGGCCTGCTGTTTGTTTATTCAAGCTAAGCTGTTGTTTCTTTCTTACATTCAGATGTCTTAAAATAAGTTTTCCCTCTTTCATAGTGCAATAATGCTCCACAACAACTCCCTAAGTGAAGAAAAAAAGATCATACATGACTTTCTTCTTTCCATATTGACATACCTGTCACTTTTTTTTACCCAATAATACTAAAGAGTTCCAACAAGGGGAGATAACAATTTAACTCCAGCAAATTGGTAACAAGGGGCTAAAATAAGCAAAAGAAAGTTATATGAAGTATCTAAATCAGTTATTCCTCTTCTAAAAAATATATTAGATTAAGAATCTTCTCTTTTTCTTTTAAATACCATAGAAATAATCCTGAAATATGGTAAAAGACTGTTATTTAAAATATGTGAAATTGTAGCAAAATATGGTATTTCAAAGTTATAATTAATTTACAACATGTAGATATTATTTCCCAAGCTCAATATTTTAATACAAAGTAGACCTTAGATCATTCTTAAAGTAACAATTAATTTAATTTAATTTCAACCTTGGTCTTGAGAGAAACGAGAATCTAAAAATGGCCAAAAAATCATACTCATTTATTTAGGATCTATAAATAGATGTGTAAAAAATAAAATATTCATTTGAATTAAGTTTTTCCTCATTAATTGTGTTAATTGGACCATGAATTTGAAAATAAAACAAAATTTGAAAACAAACTGATGACAAAAGGTAATTTTTTGACTTTATCAATTTGTGTACATTTTCCATTAAATTTTGTGTTATTTTCGACAAATATGCAAATGAGCTGTTACTAAAAATAGATGCAGGGTTCGACATTTTTTGGTAGATATTTTGAATTTTAAGCCACTAAAAACTCCCAAGTTGCAACCTTCCATTTGGATGATTTTTTGAATTTTGCATGGTTTTCTCGCGGACTGGCTCTTAAAAATATGCTTGAATTTCATATTGGCAATATGTTTTATACATAATTTTTGGAGATCAAGTCTTTCAACAATCTTTGGAATTCCTAAGGGAAGCAATTGCGCCCCGTTATAAGCTTTTTTGTAATCATATCAAGCAGAAAACATTCAAAAACTTCTGCAAGAAAAGAAGTCCTTTGATGTAGCCCTGAATTTAACAATTAGATATATCGACGACGTTTATTTATTAACGATATTTATTTGCATTCTTACGTTTATTCGATATATCCGTTGAACTTTAGGTAAAATGTTACACAGAGTCTGACACATCTTTTTCATATTAAGGTATTTACTAGGGAAGGAAGTTAATGGTTACCAAAATAAATATGATGATTTCAACTTTTCCATTATCAACTTTTCTTATAGATGAATCAATATACCATTATCACATTTGTTATTATAATGTCAATGTTAAGTCATTATCCTCACATTGAATTATCTTCGGATTTTTCTTTTCGCAAAATCATGACAAAGAGAACACAGCGAAAATGACAGGTCGATAAGAGATGCTTACTCCTCCTTGGCCCCTGATCCCACCTCTGAGGAATTTAGATGTACCTTCTAGCTCTGCTCCTAATTTGTTTTGTTTCGGTTGAATTAAAGCTTGATTACTGTACGTTAATTTCAAATTTCATTCTTTCATCTTATTTGTCAATA